ATCTTAACCCAATTGAAAATTTATGGGCTGATATTAAAAAAAACATTTGTGCATATAAAAAACTACCATCGAATCTTACTGACTTCAACTGCTATGTTAAAAGGCATGACGAGAAATTCCAATACATACTATTGAAAATTTAGTCAATAGCATGTCACAGCGAATTCAGGTTGTGATTGCAGCAAAGGGAGGCCCAACCAAGTACTAAAGTTTAATATAAAATGTATGCCTTAACCGGCTCTAATAAAATAATATTAGAATTTTTACTATTAATGCTAAAGAATTATAAGTTTTTTATTTAGTGAAAAAGTGTCTGGAAACTTTTATCCATCCTCTGTAGAACTTGCACAAGTTAAAGTCATAAAAACTGCATTGCGAAAAGGCAAAAAATATGATAATCTTGCAAAAAACTATGGAGACTATCTAAAGAAATTGCAAGCTAAAAAGAATCTGAATGACAATATTAAGACAAATGCAGTCAAGATGTTTTTTAACGAAGAGGCATATACTTTAAGGCTAGAAAATTATCACAAAAGGTATATAGATAATGATCTGTATGCTAACCTAGAGAAATTATATGAACTTTATTATGATATAGCCAAAAAAGAGAATCACGAAAGGTTAGATGATGAAATAGAACAGATGCTCAGAATAATGGCAATTTAGTTGTCTAGTAAATAATACATATATGCAAGCAGAAAGACACTAGTTATAGCGCTAACATAATATTTAGATTTGTTCAGACATGATAAATATTGTTTATTTTTTTTTCTAATGCAATAAATATTTAATTATAAAAAAGATAATAGCTGAACATTTATCTAATAATAGTTTTTAGCATGATCTAGTCTATGATATACACAACAGAGGATATATTGATGATCTTGTATAAGTACTAATTCTGTACAAACTTTTTAAAAATACAGAGAACACCAATGTCAGCGACTAAGACATTAGCTAAAATAGTTCTATCTACTAATGTCAGTATAGGTTCGATCAGAAAATATCTAAATAATATTGATATTCCAAATGAATTTTATAATCTAGTAGAAGTATTTTATATTCGATTCTAAGAGAAAGAGAAGGGTTGGATGACAAATACCCTCTTTCACAGTTTGATAGAATAAGAGGGTATAATTATTAGATTTTTTCTAACGCAATAAATATTTAGCTATAAAACATAACACTAAAAAATGGCTTATATTATCACCAGGTTTATTTTCATTTATCTTAACGTCTAAGTTGAAAGGCTGTAACAGCTGATTCTACACGTTAGAGTTTCTGACCTTAGGATTTTCTCTAAGTCTTACAGGTATCTGTTATACTTAAATCAATTCAGCAATTTATTACGTTTTAGAATTTAAGATATATTTAATCAAACTCGTAATGACGAACTCAATAGCAAGTTGGTGTAGTGTATCACAATAATTCTAGATGAAGGATAACGTTGAAGGGAAAAGTAGTTTGTGTGGATTTAAATTAATTTCTTTATTTATAACTTGAAAAGAAGAGTTTTATAAATTTACAACTGAGTTAATTTACAACTTAAGCAAAAAGCTATTCTATTTATACAAAATGATTTTGTTATGGCTAGCTACTTATTACGCTATAAATTAATTAAATATAGATATATGTTTCAATAAAAATATACTTAAATATAATAAAATAATAAAAATAATAAAAAGAAATAAAATA